AGTCCCCATACCATTTGATCACGCAATAGCTTAAGAACTTCTTTATCGATTTCATAACTTTTTTAAATTTTCAAAATACCTACTTTGTAGAAGGTTCTTGCGGAAAAAAATTAAGAATGTTGCACGAAACTTAAGTCCCCGATAAAGGGTCGAAATTGAGGGTGTAAGCTTATCATCATCAGCCTATAAGAGCGTGCGCTGCGTTAAGCGGGACACGGAGCTGATGTTTGCGCCGGGTGCTGTTTTTATGTCATTTCATAAAATTTTTGATAATATACCTGATAAACGATGAATAGTCATCATCCCTATTCTAACGTTCCTTTTAGTGACGAGATTCTACGTTATTAGCAATCCTCATTTCGTTACTTATTCACCAGCAACGCCCATCGCACTAATATTATAGAGACGAAAGTTTGTGAGTGTGTATGTTTGTTACTTCTTCACGTCTAAGCGGCTGGAGCGATTGTGAAAATTTGGTATGTACGTTTTACTGCGGCAAAATATCCCTAATAAACCGCGGGTAACACCACGGGGCACAGCTAGTGTCATAAAAGTGCCAGAAGATCTTAGTCGCACTGTACTTAATAATACATGAGACGTCGTTGCGCTCTTTGCTAAGCCGAAAGACCATAACTTTTGCATACAAAAAGAAATCAGGCTGTCATTGTGCTTATGAACGTATCTTATGAACTCCTACGACACGGCACACGGCCTCCTGTCTGCCAAATCTTTTTGAACCCTTGTCACTGCCATGTCACATACATTCTTGGAGAAAATTACGTCGAAGCACTCATTTCAGCCGAAATAATCGCACGCGCCAGGAATTTAATGGAAAAGCGTAATGAAAATGTTCTCTGATGTGAATTAAATGTTAATTTGGATACTGTAAGTATATATATTAGGTTTCCAGTAAATGATCAACTTTATATTTGAACTGGAGTGTGGGAGATTACAATATATTAATTTTCGCGATGAAAATGATCGCAGATTATGTAACACTAGCTGTGCCCCGCGATGTTACCCGCGGTTTATTAGGGATATTTTCCCGTAGTAAAACGTAGCCTATGTGTTAATCCAGGGAGTCAGCTAACTCCATACCAAATTTTATTAAAAACGCTCCAGCCGTTTAGACGTGAAGAAGTAACAAACATACACACTCACAAACTTTCGCCTTTATAAGATTAGTGTGATAAGATAGGTTCTTTGGTGGAACTGGAAAAGAAAAAATGCAAGGCCACCTGCCTCTTGCACTCGTTACTTAACAAGTCTTACAGCTTGAATAATCTAACCTTATTGAGATAAAATAAACGACTCGTATCAACAAAACTACTAATCTAATAAGGAAAAGTTAACGATAACTGGTTAACTCCAGTGTTCTACTTAAATTATCGAGAGATATTTATTGCGTTAAAATCCTTCTTATTGTAGATTTGGCATCATCGCCATCTGCACAAGGTTCCAGATTCGATTACCGGGTTGGATCACTGTAGTGAAAGAAAGGACATTGCTCGGTCCCCATACATTGAATGCCCCAGAAAGCACAGCAATGAGAAAATACTAGTTGTGTTCGGAATCATTCAAAAACTCTAATTAGGCATTTGTTGAGATACGGACAACTTGAGGAACCGTGGCCTGAATAGATTTATTGTTTACCTCTATGTAAGCACTTAAATCATCATCAGCCTATTAATGTCCCCACTGCTGGGGCACAAGCCTTCCCTATGGATGGAATAGGGAGATTGGGCCATGACCCACCACGCGGGCCCAGTGCGGATTGGTGGGTGCTAACGACTGCAAATGCAGCCGGGACCAACGGCTTAACGTGCCTTCCGAAGCACGGAGGAGCTCGAGATAGTAAATTTTTGGTCACCCATCCAATGACCGACCACTGCGAAAGTTGCTTAACTTCAACGATCGCAGCCGAACGCACTAGCCACCTGCGCCATCGAGCTCCTCACTTACGTAATATGAACTAATAAAACATAAAATGCAATTAATAATAAAAATAATAAATTACTATAACTTATATTGATTTATGAATGTTGGCAGTTGGCGCCTATGATACCTATACCTGTTGTAATAATAGATTTCTTTTCAAATGAAATGTTCAAAGGCTTTCCATTTACCTGTTTCTATATTTTATTATTGGTATTATGATTTTCATAAAAATAAACAGATATAATATGAGATGGGAGATTAGATTAAAACAAAAGAGTACAGGAGCGTAGTTCTATTCTTATGTTGATAAATAGCTATGGTTTCGTATATTGCATTTATTGAGGTTATCTATTCAAAATGGAATAGAATTGAATAAAAAAAAACACTTATTTGAAATCATTTTTTGAACCTTTTGAATTTAGATGAGACAGTCTCTTAAAGCTCTAAAGATGACATGACAGCAAATTGTGTAGTACCTAGTTGCAGAACTTTCAATTTTTATTTTTTTACAGCAGAGTAAACGGATAGTTACTATGATTAATTGCTAATGAAGTAAAAAATAATATTGAAGGACGTTTGTGCACGCTGGGGCCGATTTCGTCGATGTCCTTGACTATTATGCATTTCAGTATTACTAAAACATTTGTTTCATGGAAATGAATAGTAATAAGGTAAACCTTTGTTATAGCTTCCCACTTTTAGTCACTGTTAGTCACATATCTTTATGAAGTTTTTCATTCAACGTCTTAGTCAACCTTTTGAAAAATTTAAGAGAGGGTGATGTTTAGTAATCTATCTACCGGTGTCTAGATTAGGGTTGCCAGATGCTGGCTTATCAATTCCGGGACATTTGCACCCCCCCCTGAAAAAATAAAGCATCGAATCAAACCCCCCAGCACCCCCCAGAATTAAAACATCAAGCAGGCCAGCGGTGTTATTTGCTATTAGTTTATTTTGTTACGAAACTAGCACATTATCGGAATCTGGGACAATAAAATCTAATTACTGGACACGAAACAAGACGCAAAATTCCGGGACAATCCCGGACTTCGCGGCCATCTGGCATCCCTAGTCTAGATGCACGCACAAACGTAATCATAACACATGATTGGTGAACGTATCATAGAAAATGTCTAACAATATTTATAATTGGACATAACACTTGGATTTTGAGTGTACGCCAGACTGAGTGTTGTCTTGGCGACTTTTACTTAATTTCCGATATTTCTAATAGCGAGTCATCACGATGAAGTGAAAGTCGCACAATTATTATGATGAAATGTGTACTTTCGCACAATAATAGCAAAGCAGGAGATATTCTCTCCGGCAGAGTACATAAAAGAAAATAATAAGTTCGTAAGTAAAAAAAAACGATTGGAAAGACTAGTAGCCGTGTGCCCTCTAAAATGATTCTTTGGATCCACTTATAAACCGTGAAGTTTTATTGCAAAATTGTTTGATTCTCCATGACAATAGCGGTTTGAAGTGAGGCACATTCGATGGACTTTCTACGAAGTATACCTTTTAGTTTGATTGTTGAAAACTTACATAAGTACTTAAAGGAATATAAATCTTCGTATTACCAGAGATTTGAGATCGGCAATTAGTAACAGGAACGCCAATATGGATGGCTGATATGACGCATCAAGAGTGATAGTAAAAAGATTTAATTAAAAGAAGAGAAATTATAATCGTTGTCAGACTTTCGTTAAATTCAGTGCATTTAAGAGAGCTAGGTCATATATTGGAAGATTTTAGCTCGAATTGTAGCGATCGTCTGGAGAAGCAACCTCTACCTTACAAAAGGCCACAGTTAAGTAACACTGACTTTTGTTAGTGTTGTGTTTCTGATGGTTAGAATAGATCTGGAGGTCCAGAGGAAAAGTGATTGGCTGTTAGTGTTGTGTTTCTGATGGTTAGAAAAGGTCTGGAGGTCCAGAGGAAAAGTGATTGGCTGTTAGTGTTGTGTTTCTGGTGGTTAGAATAGGTCTGAAGGTCCAGAGGAAAAGTGATTGGCTGTTAGTGTTGTGTTTCTGACGGTTAGAATAGGTCTGAAGGCCCAGAGGAAAACTGATTGGCTGTTAGTGTTGTGTTTCTGATGGTTAGAATAGGTCTGGAGGTCCAGAGGAAAAGTGATTGGCTGTTAGTGTTGTGTTTCTGATAGTTAGAATAGGTCTGGAGGTTCAGAGGAAAGGTGATTGGCTGTTAGTGTTGTGTTTCTGATGGTTAGAATAGGTCTGGAGGTCCAGAGGAAATGTGATTGGCTGTTAGTGTTGTGTTTCTGATGGTTAGAATAGGTCTGGAGGTCCACAGGAAAAGTGATTGGCTGTTAGTGTTGTGTTTCTGATGGTTAGAATAGGTCTGGAGGTCCACAGGAAAAGTGATTGGCTACAGGCCGCCAAGGTTAGAGGGGCTAGTATGTGTGTGTCACATTTTTCTGCCGCGTCAGTCTTGGCGACTGGACCCCGGCTACACTGAACATCAGTAATAATGTCCTAAGTAGCAAAATGATAGCCGTATTGCAGTTCTTGTGAGCATTATGCAGACAAATAATAGTGTTCTGTACTTTTGCTTCATCATACACGGAGCAAACGATGGAACTAGGAATAGGCAAAGCCCGAGTGATATCGCAAGCTTCTGTAAGATATGGTGGGCGCTGAACATAAGGCAGTCTCTTTGATAATTCTTTAAACAAATAACGCGTTAAATGAATTGAATCGATTCAACATACTGCACCGCACCGGATGCGCGAATGTTAGATAAAATGGTTGATGTGCAGGCAGGATGTATAAGTAAGTATCAGGTGAATTCACACAACATGATGCAACAATACTGTGTAACAGAAGCGAACAAAACCCGGTGCTAAGCACAGTGAACCCACATGCAAACATCGACAGATTCGAACACAAAACCAATCGACCGTTAACTATCTGTCTATCAATCTTCAAACGGTTGGTTAATTCCAGTTAGGGAGCTTTTGTTAATTTTGTTTTTTTTTTTACTATTATTGTTGCAGTAGGTTATGTCAAACGAAGCGAAGCAAAGTCTTTATGGTTGTCTACCTTCTGGTGAAGACTTGGTTTGGCCACCGTTACTTTCGGTATGGGCGAGTAACGTCGTCTTCGATTTCTCTAGGGGCCTTCGAACCTTGAGAGGGGACTCCGTAGGCTTTTTGCCGCACCGCTCCGGTTCGCTCTCTACACCCAATTTACTGAGGGCGACTAGGTTCGCTACATTAGGAACATAGGAGTAACTTACATTAATATAGAACAGATAATATCTTTTCAATTTAAAAGAAAACGCGTTGTGTTGCTGTTTGTTTAAAAAAATAAATAATAAGCCTGACATGCAAGACATACAGCCAATAGTTTTTTTTTTTCAATAATGCAGTAGCTTTTCGGTAACTAAATACTGCGTTGTGGGGTGGTTAAAGCGGGAATTTGCTTACCGAGGAAATGTAGACGGTCTTTGGCCATGCCAAGGTTAGTCTTCATTTTGTCGTGGAGACGCTGTGCCCGCTGCCAGGCGTCCCCGCGTCCGCCCCAGCAGTCCACAGCTATGCCACGCTCTAACTCGTAGATGCCTTTCTTGTATAACTCTATTGCCAACTCTTTTTGACCTGCACAATACATTCGATTGCTTACGTAAATGCCGATACATATATAAGGGTAAAAATTAACTTCTTAGTTCTTAGAAACCCGCTCAAATGTAAAAGCTACATCATGACCTTTAATAGTTTATGTTGATGTGGTATTCTTAGTACCACTTGCTCCATTGTTACTCTTCGAATTATTTCTATGCTCTTGACAGTTGCGGAGGCCAAGGATAGCAGGGTCATCGTTGTTTCGATTTTCGATTTTTTTAAACTATTATGGTCACTAAAGCCGCGATGACGCAGGGCGAGTTTACAAGCTACAAGCAGCGAGTTTACTAGCAGCTTGTAACTCGCCCCGTGTCATCGGTTTTTTTACCATCTGCTACTCAATGATACGGGGCGTGTTTACAAGCTACTAGCGAACTCGCTGGTTTGTAGCTTGTAAACTCGCCCCGTGTCAGCGAAGCTTGACAATAAATTAATTATCTGGATTGCTACAATGTAGGTACTTTTACTTTAATGTAGTCGTTTTTCTTTCTAGGAAAGTGTGTGTACAATGAATTGTTGGCCAAAAAATGGTTGACCAAGTCGCAAGTCCAGACTGATCGCACCAGTGTCACTAACCATTGGACTGTGTGTGTTGCAAATGACGTACGGATTTGAGACGTGGTGTTTGGTCTATAGATGAGCTTCTAATTGAGAAAGTTACCATGATTTTTTTATGTAAATAAATATGAGGGTTTCCATAGAAGAACTAAAGTTATTACTCTAGTTCTTCTCCTTTCAGTTATTGAAAGTTTAAACTTGTGCTGGGAGCCGCAGTGTCGGGTAATCTCCCTACCAGGTACACATGTTAGTCTACCAAACACCAGAATTGGGGACTCATTGGATTGGGAAATTGATAGATCACTGTGAGTGGAGGCCTAGAAGGGATTGTCAGTGATTGATTATGTATTATTGGATAGTTGTTAGTTAAGTTAGTTAGGTGTTGTAAGAGTGATGTTTATACCAATATTTATTTATTTTACACTGATGTACTTTTGATGCTCTACCAATTCCTGGACAAATCTATTGTTCTGAATTTGTTTTCATACAAAAATTTATAACACAAAGCGCAAGTGTATTTTTTTACAGAAGTTGGTCAGATGTAGAGTTACCATCCGTCCAGATTAGTCCGGCCATGTCCCGACTTTTAGACTATAGTGTTTAAAACTGAATCTTACGCCACAAGACATAAGTAATTTACGTATGGAAAATGTAAGATTTGACAATAAATATTGCTTATGGTCATTCTATCAGCCAATCTGTAGATGAACAGAGATTCAATTAAATAATACATAGTTTTGTTACTCTTTTATCTCAGAATGTCACCAAAATAGAACACAAAAACAATTCAGTGAGTGCAGAGAAACCATTTTTATTTATAGAGAAATAAAAACTTTTTGCAACACCACCCCCCTCATCATCAGCCTATTTATGTCTCCACTGCTGGGGCACAGGCCGTCCCTATGGATGAAATAGGAAGATTGGGCCATGACCCACCACGCAGCCCAGTGTGGATTGGCAGATGCTAACGACTGAAAATACAGCTGGGATCAATGGCTTAAAGTGCCTTCCGAAGCATGGAAGAACTCCAGATAGAAGATTTTGGTCACCCATCCAATGACCAACCACTGCGAAAGTTGCTTAAGTTCAACAATTGCAGCGGACCGCGCTAACCACCTGCGCTATCGAGCTCCTCACCACCTACCTATCTACCACCTATTCACTGACAATGAATTTATTTCTGGATGTGATCAAGATGATGTGACAAAATTTTGGTGGACAAGCTGCTACAGTACATAGGTTGGTATACAGTATGAAAATTTACAGATATAAGAGCTGAGCAGGGCCTTGGCTCAGCATTAGCTGAGATGACATTGTATCACACCAGGACTGATATTTTGGCAGGACCTTTATAATGATGTATTTTACATTTTTCTTATCTTAGATTTTTTTTTAATCTTATATTCATATTACTGTTTCATGTTAAGCAGACACTAGTCTAGACTCTTTATTTGTCTAGCATCAATTTAACATTATTTCAATATTTACTTAACACTGTTTATAGTTCCTTGAACCATGCTCCAATTTCATTATCAAGAAAATTAAAATTGTAGGAAGCTATTTAGACAAAGAGTATTGTTTTACATATTTTTTAATTATTAATGTCAAGAATATTTATCATGCATTATTTTCCTTATCATTATTTGCACACTCATTAATATAATTATCACATTGACTCTTATCAAAGACATTTGAAGACTTAGCTTTTAGAAGGAAGACTAGAAATACATCTTTTATTGACAAGTCTTGTCACATTTATCAGAGATTGTGTATGACCAATCACTGAGAGTTGTCTCCACAATAACAATCCAGAAGCTAACAACTATGAGTTTGATTGGATTTATAGTTGAAACATATTAATTTTGACTAAAAATTTGTCATATTTATTGTAAACATAATGTGTAAATACAATGTTCTTATTTTAAAATTAACAAATGCAATAGTATAAAATTAACTGCCTCATCTATACAAAAACAATGTTTTACAGAACACACATAACATTGATTTCAAAATAGTAGTTACAAAAGTTTTATATCAGTCACAGTTTAATAGTTTCATACCAGGTTACATTTGTCAAATTTAGTAACTTATGACAGAGTCTCACCTTCATTCTCCTCATCGATCTTGAGAGCTTTTGAAATATACTCAAAAGCCTTTCGATGGTGATGCTTTTGTTTGGCTAGCAGGGGGTCGCCGGGACCCACGTTGTGTATGTGCGACATTTCTTCTCCGTGCGCTATTTCAGTAGACACCACACCGTCCTTCACAACCACTTCCAAGTTACATTCCCCGTTCTTACGAGGCTTGTGCATCAACCGATGAGAAGCCGAATACAAATACTTAAATATTATGAATAACTGGTAAAGAATGGACCTGAGAATGTTGAATAAAATAATGATTGGAAAAGAAACAACGTAAAGATTCCTCTTATGGACCGAAGGTTGCGAACCATTTCGCAACGTTGACCCTTTCGCTAGGTCTGCATCTGTCTTTTTGCACTTGCGATTTGGGGATCTAGTCGTTTTGCGCGATATTCGACCACCATTGGAATCGTCACCCGAAACCATCAAGAACACTAGCACTCAAACTTATTCAACGCCAAATCCCCATACAATATTATAAACAAAGAAACGCGCGTTCACTCTACCGACTAACTATTCTAAAAACATAGAAACCACAGAAAAAGAACCCGTGATGAACTATTGTATTGACATTTTGTTTGACGTTACTGTTACAGAGTGTCCATTTAATGAAATATCTACTAAATTAGTAACTTTGCTATAAAGTTTTGGTTTATTAAATATTCAATTCAGGGGCCTGTGTCAACTTTTTCGAATCTCACGGACCTTTTCTTTAGCTTTTGAAAGGATAACAAGGCTAACGCATAAACTCTTTAAGCCAAAAAACAAACAAAGAGGGATGGCAAAAAATGTAAGTTACAGAAAGATCAGAAGGAGTCAAATCAAGGATAGATGGATGAGAAGGAAGAGATACAGTGAGTAATTATTTTACCAAATAACTACTAGTGTACTAGTGTGTTACGGGTGATTTTTAAAATATTTTGATTAAAGTTTACATCTACTTTAAACAGTAATACAGTATAAAAAAAATCAACGAAGAAGAAAATATATAAACGCTCATTATTTTGGAACGCTCGGGTGTAACGTTGAAATTCATCTCAACCCACAAGCAATAAAATGTTTGTTGATATCTGAGTTCTGCGGTTAGCATTTCGATGAATTTGTACAACACTATGTGGTGTTATTTTATAATTTTTAATACAAAAATGGGTGCGTGTACTTATGTAGGCGCGTGAGAAGTTATCCTTCTTTGGCATCGTTTAAAATTAGTTTTTAATTGCATGCAAATAATTAATTACAATAAATTAATAAAAAGTCTGGAAAAGGACACAGTCAATAAAGTTCAGTTTTAATTTGAAAAAATAAATAAATAATCAAAATATTCAATTAAAATCGCTACTGAATATAATTTATTAGAACATATGTGATTTGCACTTGTATGAAACTCAAACACGTATTCCGAATATACAAACTAGAAACATGTGGATAAATATTATAAATATGAATACCTATAACTGTTACTTTATTACAAAAAATAAAGATGTGGTTTTTGGTTCTACTACACCAATGGTCAAGAGATGGCGCTGTAGTCTCCTGAATCGCGCTTTGGTTCCGTTGTTCCAGATTAATAAATACTTTTGATAGGCCTTCACAATGCAGTCGTTAGCACCCACTAAATAGAGATTCTATTTCTATTTTGTTGGTAGATTTTGTTAATGTGCGGTAAACACAAAAGTAACCCATGAAGTTGGTCGCTAAAGCGACCAACTTCATGGTGTTAAAATTTTGTGTTACAGTGATGCGCGCGCATCTTAAAATTTCACTCTCATCATTTTTTCATAACGCGCCTAAAGAAGTATAATTTCAAAAACAAAGTCAAAAAGACTAACTGAATTACATTTTATTTATGTTTTTATTTTTTTAAGCATTTAACTGCCGCATGTTTAAATCTAAAGAAAAATTTTACTAGATTTTTTTTCTAGTAAAACTTTTCTTTACATTTTATTTGTTTAAAGTAATTAAATTAGAATGCGGAACAGTTATACGAAGGTAAAATAAATAATTTTGTAATTAAAGTACGCGGATCGCAAAGAACAATACATACATACTAGAGAGAAAAAAATGCACAATATAAAACATTATATTTTATTTACCTAGTATAGAAAAAAACAGGGAGTACATGTTATTTTCATAATAGCTTTATAATCAAATCCAAATCCATTTCATACCTAATGCACATTGAATACACATATTAATTATTAATTTATTAAGATATCGTATTGTCGTAAGTATGGGGATCGGCGATCTGCATAAATATTCGGAATAGGTATTTTAATTAGGTATTGTTAAATATAAGGATTAGCTGGAATAGGTATCAACTTTACCTAATCCGACCTTCTAATGCATACCCATTTCCTATTGGTTTAGTAGTAATATAACATATTATATCTGGTAACATTTCATAGGGATTGCAAATATCAATCTGATTTATTTTCGAATTGATATTTCAATCTAAATTCAATGATTAAAATACTATATTTATAACAAAATAGAAGTATACTATTTTAAATAAGTAAAATATGATAATTAATTAAAAAGTCATTTACGAAGACCACCATATTACTGCATGCCGTCTGAAATATAGTCATTAAGCAGAAGTTGCTTTGCCGTCCAAAAATAACATACCTCTTCCTGACGGCTCCAGTTTGGATGTTCGGTGACAATATTGTTTCTGTTGACGCTGTCATAAAAATGCGGTTGAGACAATTTTAAATGTCTCCCTGAGTAGCAACCACTTTGCCAATCTTTGCCAATCCGATAAGGCTTGCTTGATTTAGCCCATGGGGTTTCGAGCCTATCTATGAATGGCGACAAGATGACCGTACCCTTTGCAGCCGATGCTTTGACAGCCTGGTTGGCTCTCGTACTGGGCGCGGCCGCGCCTAAGAACCCCGAGTTCTAGCGCTCATGGGATGACGTAAATTGTAAAGCGACACTTGAACTACTTATTGCTGGTGCCACGGGAGTCGAAGTGGCGAGGCGGTGTCGCGGCCTGAATCCGGGGCGTGGCTGCATGCGTTAACTTCGTCTCTTATGGGCACCTTACTTGACAGTGACTCCTTGCGGGTGGCGGTCGCCCTCCACTTGGGCTGCGATGTAAGTCAACCACATATATGTATCTGCGGTAGCATGTAGGTGCTGACGGTCATCACACATTGAGCTGCCGTCGATGCACGGGAACACATCCACTTCACCATGCTCTCAACGACATAGTGTTGAGAGCATGGCCGGTGTTCCTTTCGTCCTGGAACCACCAGGGCTTAGGCGCACCAAGGGGAAAGGGCCTGATGGTCTAACATTGATACCGTGGGAGAGGGGACGATGTTTGGTGTGGGACACAACGTGTATCGGCACTTTCGCCGCTACCCACAATGCCGCACAACACGCACGGCTGGGGTGACGGCTCAGCATCAGGCGGCGGCGAGTGGCGAAGCGCTTAAAATATTCCTCATTAGGGCAACGATACATTTTTGTGCCTCTGGCACATGGCAGTGGAAATGGTGGATTGTTAGTGCACGGAAGCCAAGCAATTTGTGTGGGACCTGGGCTGCCGACTCAGGCAAAAAACTGATAAAACTCGCACTGGGTCGTTTCTGGCACAAAGAATGTCTTTTGCCATCCAGCGTGACAATGCTGCAATCATAATGGATTGTGTCGATTATTGGGCGTTTAATTTTTTTTTTAATTGAATTATATTGATTGACATCCCTAGTACTGTACAGGGTTACGTTCCAAACTTGTGCTCCAGGCGTAACAAATATAAAATTTAACATAAGTTTCATACATTTTATGTCAAATTTGAAACGTCTTTTATTACCTAGACGTTTTTTTTGTTGCACTCAGAGCGTAAGTTTAGAACGTAGCTGTCACTACTGTCCTGTCACTGTCAATCAGACGGACAGCCGACAGACAGTAAGTTTGGGATAGTACGTACCTTTATCATGTTTTTCTAAATAAATTGATTACTTGTGTATTATAAATTAGTAGCAGCTGTTTTTTGTGAAATAAAGCACCAAGTATATCATCAGTGCTACGAAGACTCCTGAGCCAACATCATCATGGCCGAAGTAAGTTACGTGGATGTTTTGGATAACCTATAAATGTACCTCCGTGGGCCACTCCACTCTCTACTTGAGAAGTATATAATTCATCGCTCCATTGTATTTTGTATGGGACGATATGCTATCGTTTTCCAGGGGCTATCACAGATGGATTTAAAGAAATGCAAACATATTGCATCATGTTGATGTTCTGTACTAAAGTTATTTTTTATGACTCCCTTTTTTATATAACATGCAAGTAGTATTACTGGCTCCTCTCTCTTTCCCTGCTTTGTGTAAATGTATTTGATCTATAGGATCTTCTATTCCACACATACTTGATTCCATTTAGGGTCATTGGTATAGAATCAGTGCTAGTACTAATGTTGCTTCACTGTTAACAGTGAAATTAAGCTATACTACAATCTGCTTATATATTATAGGCAATGGTAGAAGAACAACTGAATGATTTATCTGTCAGGGATGAGGAGGATGACATTGTGGACCCATGGAATGTGACAAGCAAATCTGAAACAGGAATAGATTATGAGAAGCTAATCAGTAAGTTATGTTTGAAATATTTTGTCACTAAATTTATTTCATATTCTGTATATTATTTTATTTTGATTATGCCTCAGCTAGAACCCCTTGGGATATTTAAAAACTATGGATGGTGTGTTAAACAGATTACCTTTTACATACTGTAAATGAAAAAAAAAAACATCCAACTCTTCAATAACAATTTGTAATAAAACATACATTACAAAATATCTGAATTTTTTAAAATTTTCTTTTACCTTAGTAAGATTGCGGTTTTACTAAAGTTAATTTTGCACCATTCTTAATGTGCTTTAAATAAAATGCTCCCAATATCTGAGTTCCTTCTTTAACCACATTGATATTTGTGAGTGTTCTTCATTAATTGGGCATCAAGATGTTGGTACATATTTTTCTATGCATTTCAGTACATAATAAAAAAGAATACTTTGCTACAATTTCAATGATAATATTGTTCATAATATTGTGATAATAAATATTTAACTCATAATTTCAGAAAGATTTGGCAGTCAAAAGATTGATCAGGCTCTAATAGATAGATTTGAAAAAGTTACTGGACAGAAAGGTAAGTTTAATTACTAGCCACACGTTAGCAAAGCTATTGACAGAAGTTACTGCAAAGAGCTGTAAAGTGTTGCTACAATCGAAGAAAAAAAAACAACAGCAAAAGAAGCTTTCTAAACTAATGCCATTCCTCATGCAAAATAGACACATGGTGTTGAGTTGCAAAAAGAGTTACACTACTAAGACTAAGGCTTGTATTACAGATTGACAACTAAGTGTTGATCTTTACTTGAGTACACTTAGAAAGGTATGAAAGGGATTCTAACTGTAATCAAGTTTTGCATGATTAATGGCATTACTTTAGAAAGCCTCTTTTGCTGTTGTTTTTTTTTCTTTACTTGTTCTGTAATACAAGCCTAAGAGGCTGAATAAATAACTTATTGGCAAATTCAAAATTAAAAGTGATTCATCTACAAAATGTTTATTTTAGCTCATCACCTTTTGAGGCGCGGAATATTCTTCTCACACAGGGACCTACATGCAATTTTGAATCACCATGAGGCGGGAAAGAAATTCTACTTGTATACTGGTAGAGGACCTTCTTCAGAGAGCATGCACATTGGTCATATAATTCCATTTATGTTTACTAAGTAAGTTTTTGCATTTATCAGATAACATAGATAAAAATAGTAATAGTTATACCTAGTACAAACTCGTAGAAAGGTAAAACGAGATACTAAAGATATTGTAACATTTTTAAAATATTCTGTCAATTATTCTATCCTGGTCATCTCTGATATATATTATATATTGGGATGTAAGGACTTAACATTACATTTAAAATAAACTCTTGTAAATGAGATGTGAGAGTGTTACCAAAAAATCTTATGTATGTTGATGGTCAAAGCAATTCATTAGCAGCCAAAAAGTAAAACAGTTTCTAATTTTAGATGGTTGCAAGATGTGTTCAAAGTACCACTCATTATTCAATTGACGGATGATGAAAAAGCTTTATGGAAGGACATCAAGATAGAAGATGCTCGTAAAATGGCATTCAACAATGCTAAAGATATTATAGCTGCTGGTTTTGATCCAGCTAACACATTTATATTCAATGATCTTGATTTTATTGGGTAAATACACATTATAGATTTTTGAACATGATTGAAGCAAATAAGCTCAGTACAAAATCAATAATTAAGTACATTTACTTTTGTAGAAAATGCCCAGCGTTCTATCAGAACATGGTGCGGATACAGAAATGTGTAACTTTCAACCAGGCGAAGGGGATATTTGGATTCGGTGAATCTGATGTCATTGGCAAAATCAGCTTTCCATCCATAGAGGCCGCACCTGCTTTCTCCACCTCATTCCCCTTTATATTTGGGGATAAAGTAGTGAGTAATAAACCATGAACGGATGAAGTACCATATAAAATATATGAATCACATATGAATGATAGAACTTCAGGAGTAAAGTAGCTGTCTACAGGTGAAAGAATTTTCGAAATCTGTTAAGTAGTTTCAGAGTTTACTTCTTACAATCAAAATGAAAGTATCACTTTATAATCTCTCTATAATAAATAAAATCTTAATTTCCCTTGGTATCGCGATAACTTGAGAATGACTTACCAATTTCATCCATAATTTTTAGAAGAAAGTTTTTAGAGTAAAATAACACAAGAAACTTGCACTAGAAATTATAAACTCCCGACAGGTGGAGCTGTGGCTTTCATATTTAAATCAGGCATGACAATGTCTCTACATTTTTATTTATGGAAACTTTAGTTCTGACTTGGAGCCCATTCCAAGTCGGAAGCTAGTATTAGTACATATATTTAATGCGGTTGTGCAGTTAGTAGCGACTAACTGCACAACCGCATTAAATATATTACATTTACTCAAATCTGTGGCAGTACGTCTGCTGTCCACTAGTTCATTGCGGGTAGAAGCTTCTATCAGCCTTGTTTAAATAAAATCACATTATTATTCCTAGTTTGACGACCTCGGTAGCCGAGTGGTTTATACGCCGGGTTTCATGGTGTCGCCGACTCGAAAGGTCCCGGGTTCGAATCCTGGTGGGGCCAGATGTTTGTGTGATGAAAACAAGCATTTGTACTCCATATTTGTTTCTTAGGTTTTCACGCACATCACTCTAAATAAAACTAGTTTTTACGGGTTAATACACGAAACTTTTTTTATTTATTGACGCTTCGTAGCCTTTACAGGCTACATCGTCGGAATTCAATTTTTATTTAATTTTGTCGAGCTACCTTCGAAAGTCTTTGTGTGCATTAACCCCTTAAAAAACTAGTTTTATTTATTTGTACTCCAGTCAAGGATGTTAAATATGTATTTCTATATAAATATACTTTTATATATACAATATATGTATTCTATCCGTTACCCTAGTATCCCATAACACAAGCCTTACAGTGCTTACTTTGGGGCTAGGCTAATTGTTGTGAGTGTTGAAAATATTTATTTATTTATTATTTCGTCCAGTTGCCGGCTTTAGTTCCGTGCGCCATCGACCAGGATCCATACTTCCGCATGACTCGCGACGTGGCGGCTCGCCTCAAGCTGCCCAAGCCCGCCCTACTGCACGCGTCCTTCCTGCCCGCCCTACAAGGCGCCCAACACAAGATGTCTGCCAGTGATCCTAACGCGTCAATATTCCTCAACGACACGCCTAAGCAGATCAAGAATAAGGTACCTGGGTGAATCTATTATGGTATTTTGCGGTTTGTTTTTTCATGTTTTGTCATTGTTCTCATCTTACAATTTTACAGTTATGTGTAATAAACAAAATATTATCCATAAATACATCATTATCATCAGCCTATTAATGTCTCCACTACTGGGGCACAGGCCTTCCCTATGGATGGAATAGGGAGATTGGGCCATGGGCTTAACGTGCCTTCCGAAGCACGGAGGAACTCGAGATAGAAGATTTTTGGTCATCCATCCAATGACCGACCACTGCGAAAGTTCCTTAAATTCAACTATCGCAGACGAACGCGCTAACCACTTGAGCCATCGAGCTCCTCCATAAATACATAAAAATATTAATGTGAAAAATTAAATGTGACAAATGTAAATATGTGCCAAGAGGAAATGACGATTGGAAATACTAACAACAAAACTAGTAGATTCACCGACCTATGATTTTTTTTTATTTTCATTAAATTGAAATCGACATATCTCATTAACCCAACTAGATATCGAATTCAGTTAAAGACTGGCAGTATACATTAACAATAAGCTTTACAATGGTATACATTTTTATTATGTACAAAGAACTTGGTATCTGTACCAACCCCCTTACAAAATGGTTGTTCTTCTTTTAAAATCTACACACTACATTACTGATCACAAAAATTTTGTACTAGTAAATGATCGTCCAATTTGTAAAATCTATATCGATTTTTTATTATATTTACAAATGTAATATTTTTCCTCATCAGATCAACAAATACGCTTTCTCCGGGGGGCAGCCGACTATAGAAGAACACAGACAGAAGGGGGGCAACACTCAAGTCGACATATCTTATCAGTACTTAACCTTCTTCCTTGAAGACGACGAGAGATTAGCGGAGGTGAGATCTTACATTTTATTAATATTTGACAATAATAATAATAAATTCTCAAGAACTTCCATCAATTTAATTTAGTCCCAATCTAAGCAGAGTTTGAGGTAAGCTAAAAAACGCATACAATACCTAACGATATTAAATACCCTAGATACAACAACACGAACAAAATCGAGGCGGAAACCTGTCCCAAAGGTATATTGAACGATCCCCGGAGCTCCGTAAGATGATCGCGTTGTCAAAAACATATTAAGGGCATTATTTAACTATTGAAAGTCACCTTTAATGCATACTGTATAAGGTCTTAATAAAAATGCATGCGTCAAAGAGTTATGACAGTTCGAAATGCAAGCTCGTAAAATTTTACGACTTATTGCTATATGCGGAAGAATATAGACCTTATTTCTTTGACTCTAAGCGCAATTCTGAATGCGTTGTTAGCAATATAGCAAGTACGGACCGCGAGGAAAAGAGACGGCTATATAACCGACCATGAAAATGAAAATGAAAATGGTTTTTATTTCCCAAAGAGTCAGTTTACAGTACAAGTTGAGACAACCCAGAAAGTAAATAATTAATACTTGTGTTGGGATGCCTCGCTCTTAGCCTAGTGCAGTTAACAAATTTTGGGCACATAATAACTAATTTCTTAAAGTATCAGGTGTATTTGTATAAGTAAGTGTGTGTATGAATTTGTGCGTGTGTTACTGTGTGAGATGGAGAATAAATGCGTAATGTGTGTACAGTTGTATATATATTTAATTTTCTGTTCGACCATTATGTTATTCTTTTTAAAATTAACTTCGTGTCTTCATAGTTAAGTGTTTTCAGCCAATTAACTAGAGTGGTTTTACATTTATATGACAATATAGGATACATGTTGTGTTGTAATTTTTTTTTTATAGTATTATAAATGAAAATACTTTGAGAGGGATATTGACGTCTACCAAAATCAGTGCGAGTTGGAAGGGAACGAAACACAATATCTTTACATCTTCTGTCTAATTTTGAAGGATCATATTTTAATGTCATATGTAATGCCAGGGTAGTGTTTAATAAATACAGCTGCCGGATAGATAAAAGATTACAAAGTTTATACAGATTGTCTGTGGGGTATCTGTAAGGTTTGAAATACATTACCTTGAGGAGTGATCTTTGAGCCCTTTCAAGATCAAGTAATTTATATTTTGAACTTCCTGTCCACACAGGAATACAGTACGTTATCACAGGCTGAACTAACGCAACATAGATTTTGTTCAGAAGTTGACTGGACATGACATATCGCAATGTTTTAAATATCCAGGTAAGTTTCCTGACTCGGGCGATAACCAATTCAATATGTGAATGCCATGATAGTCTTTGATCCACTATAATTCCAAGGTATTTGGTGCTGATTACTTTTGAAATACTGGGGCAGTTACAGTTTTCGGTAGATGGATGGTTTTTACTACTGTGAATTTTAATTTGAAAATCATCAGCCGGTTGAGATCTTTGACTTGGGGTAAAACATATATAATTTATTTTTGTCGTATTAAGCGTCAGAAGATTTGTGTTAAGCCAATTTGACACTTCAGCCAAAGCTAGTTCAGCAACGGTTTGTACTGCCTCCCAGGAATGACCAGAAAATACAAGTGCAGTATCATCCGCGTAACAGAAAATTCGTAATCCACTAATTCGAAGCTTACACAGGTCGTTAATGTAAACTAAGAACAGTGAAGGGCCTAGCACACTGACTTGTGGAACTCCGTATGTGATATTTTCTTCGAAACTATTTAAATTGTCAATTTTAGCTTGTTTTCTTTCTGAGAGATAACTTTCAAACAAAGAGAGAGCAGTACCCCTAATACCAATGCCTTCAAGCTTTTTTATTAGTTTAGTACCATGCATTTGAATATCACAAATATTGTCTATTAACTCAGTTTATATTAAGTATGAGAACAATATTTGCTTCAAATGCGTTAAATTAACAAATATTGATTAGATACCTGTCGAAGAAACGACATTTTACGTACTATAAGTATATTTTTTGCATTTTTTCAAGGAGCTCTAAGGCATCTTGACTTTTCGTCGGTCCGCGCGTGACTGAGAATCAAGAAGTGCTTGAGTGGGGTTCAAGCACTTCTTGATTGGGTCACATTTTGAGCGCACGTGGTGTATCTAGTATTTAATATCGTTTACAATACCATAGTAGGTATATGAGTATATATGACAATGACGTATATATAGACAGGTTATACGTCAACATTCTTGCATTTTAAAATGGCACAAAACATTTTACATTCTGTACAGAGAATGACAAGGATACACTATTTTCAAATTTAAGTTTAGTTTTAGAGGATAATGTCAGAATAGGCACCTAAATCTCGCTCTTTAGCTTCTATGTGTCAACGGTGGCGCAACTATCAAAATAACTAATCACTAAATTTTATTACATTAATTTCTTTAAAACTTTACTTACGAATGAAATGACATGTTTTTCTTGTACCTAATAGTTCCCGTGTATTTTGTGTACTATATAAAAACACACAGTGCTTTTTCCTGACTTTCATATTGCCAGAAGCGTGAAATCTCTACCTTTAAAAACATCATAGGTATGTGTATTAAATCTGCTTAGCGGGAATCTCTTCTTCTTCAGAAAATTTTAACCAACCAACCAGTAGTCGTAAATAATGATTTCTCGTTGAAAATGCCCAGTAATAGAACTACAGATAACTGACGAATGCACTGACAACTATGCTACGGAAAACTTAAAAGATGTGTTGAATTCCTTCTACCGTATCTTAGGCTGCAAGACAACGCTTTGCTAGGAGTCGATTTTGTTTAATAGAAAATTTTTTTAGGACGATAAAAGTAACTACCTATGTAATCAGGTGAGGTAGAATCATTTGTCTACCTAGTTATAAAAAAACATGTCAATATAGTTAAATTTGTTATTTTTCAGACGGGTACTCATTAGCGAACTGTAACCGTAACCCTTGCATGCACTGTACCCCTAGCACAAACCAATATCGAATTCGTATCGTTTGCGAGTCCGAAATGTCATTGTCAAATGTGTCAGTACACATTTTACTTTAGTTTTTGTTACGTACTTTGTGGCGCTGCTGTTCAAGTCTCCATACAAAAATTGACATTGACATTTCGGTTTGCAAACTATTCGAATTCGATAATGGTTCGTGCTATGGGTACTGTAACCAAAAAGCATAGTGTGTATGTACGTGATTCGCCAACTTGCTGCGAGCGGTACGCGTGCGGTTTACAGCGAGCCGACGTTTACAACTGAGCTACAAGCGTACACACTAGAACCCCGTACTGTATCACGCATGTTACGGTTACAGCTCGCTAATGAGTACCCGCCTTGAAAGCACGTAATGAGGGCTATCGCGTATGAATCCGCCGCTAGAGGCGCTAGTGTAGCGTGAGGTCTCCGAAATGTCAAATGTTATTGCTTGTTGGTTGACTACGCGGGTTTATTTCTAATTAAAATATTGTTGTGAATAATTGGTAACAATTCGGCTTAATTATGGCAAATATGAGTTATGTGGCAATGAATGTCAGTCATTAAAAATTTGAGCTTAGAAAAATGATTATGTTCCCATTTTTTCCGAATAAAACGGAACTGCGCGTCACTGTGGCATGGCCTATTATGTTTAGGATATGGTTCTTTTGTGTTAAAATACGATCTAAATGCAACCTTTGATTTCATGTGCGTATTAATAAACTTTAAAAGTTACAATTTAGGACCTCACTCAACAGTGGCGCCATCTGGTGAGGCAGAAAACGGTAGCCCTCATTGCTTGAAGTTTAAATCTAAAGAAAATTTAACTAGAAAAAATTCCACGCGGACCAAGCAGCAGACGGGACTCGAACCCATTCATTCATTTGACATTGTGGTTTACCTACTATGCGAAGAGATGGCGCTGCCTTGCAGCTTAAGAAAGGCTAGAAAAAATTCGACACGGCCGTCAGGGCCGCGGTAGCACAATGGTCAGTGCATTCGCCCGGATAGCGAAGGGTGCGGTTTTGAGTCCCGTCTACCATGCCAATATGTGTTCTTAAGATTTAATATAAATATTTTTCATTATTCAAAGGTAAAGAAAATGTATGAATCGGGCGAACTTCTTACCGGCGAATTGAAGAGGATAGCGATAGAAACCATCACACCAATAGTGCAGCAGTACCAGCAGCGCAGGGCGCAGGTCACCGACGAAGTTCTACGGCAGTTCTTCGAGATAAGGAAACTTGACTTCTAACTACTTGCATTTAGAGCACAATGTCGTGTGAACGAATTTATTTATGAAAATAAGTGGATGGTCTCACTGAAAATTGATCTGGAGCGTTACTTTTAAGTCAAAGTCATGGTCGAACTGTTAAAATCTTCACTGCTGCCTCCCCTAGCATGAGCACCGTTTTTATTGAGCTGAGTTGTCTTTCTATGTAGTTTGACAGCTATATGCGATATAATGTATATTGTGAAAGTCGTGCTAAGGAGACTGGGACATGGTTGTTCCTAAAGACATTACATGGAGGGAATTACGCGAATTGCTGGCTGCTAATAGCTTAAAAATGCAGCCAGAACGACAGTTTCAAATAACAAATCTTTGGTCATCCATTCTATGACTAACCATTGCGAAAGTTGCTTAGCTTTCACGATCGCAAAAGAATTTCATTTTGAGTATTTATCTTATTTAATAAGATCACAATAGATTTTCATTTTGCGTATTTATCGAATTGTAATAATATAAATACTCAAAATAAAATTCTTTTGTGATCGTGAAAGTGAAGCAACTTTAATAAATTGTATACTTAAGTTAATGATTATATTGATAAACGTTCGAGTATTCTATTCGGCTGCAAGTGATGTGATGAATCGAGTGTACATTTTTATACGGGGATGAGTAAAGAAAACACATTGTGTTGGAGATTTAGTATTACATTAATATTATCATAAATACGAAATCTTGCTTTCCTATTTTTTTTTCGCATTAACCTTTAACCAGACTCTGCCTTCCTGTAATTTAGAATTCTCTGCACCTTTCTGTCAAAATTTGGTAAAATAAGTGAATCAAAATCAATGCAATGAAAATAACATCTCAAACAAATTTGTATAATGTTTAGACATTAGAATAAGCAATGTAAACCAAATTTTATATTTTATAAACGGATTTTTGCATTTATATTTATCATTTATAATTATTTTGGGTTCAAAGATTGTAAGTTTTGATGTAGAAGACAATTTTAATACTGAAATAACACACTTATGATTACAAATCTTTCAATGGATGGTGTGTTGTTTTATGTCGGCACTTGGCTATTCGTGTTTGCTATTTGTAAACTTGACATCAGTCTGTTCTTTTCATTCCTTATAAAGCATGATAAGGACAGACTGTGGTCAAGTTTACAAATAGCAAATGCAAACAGCCAAAGAAAGTGCCGGCATTAACAAATTAGTTTGTCAACTAAATCATCATGTCATTTTACTAAGGATAGTTTTAGTTTTATATGGATTGGATAGAATAAGCATAAGTTGAAACTATAAAGAAAGTGTGACTTTTTGTGCTGTGCAGATCTTATGAATTGTTTATGTAATTTTTGTATTCGAGTTAGAGTTCCTTTTATCAAAAAATAAAACACTGTTAAGTAATGAAAGTTCACAGTCTACTTTATACAAATTTATACATAAACAGTCTTTAAATATCTTTTTATCTTGATAATTAATAAAATAAATTATCGAATATCTTTACTCTTTTCGCTTATTGATATGACAAGGTCAAATTAACACTTTCCTTTGGCTTTGAAAGTTCTAGAAAGAAATGGCAGAGGGAATCAAAATTAGACAATTACTTAAGCCTCCTTCAATGTCGTTAACCAAGATATTTGTGTCGATCTATTATTTAAATATACGTGTAAACATTTAAGTACCTAGTATAAATATGCAATTTTCTAATTATATGGCTTCGGCGAATCAGTGGATGGCAAGGCTTTTAAAGGACATGGCTAAGAACTACTGCCCTTAACGTGTATAATTATTTAATGTAAGTATATCGAAATAAACAATATTAATTTCAAACTCCTAAAAACTATGAAATATTTGGCGCTAATTTTTATTATTACAAGGCACTGATAGCCTGAAATAATATATTTTATTTTTCTGATCAGGCTTGAGACAAGGCTGTATGATAATTAATCCTTTGATTTTTGCAAATGATCAAAATAAAACTGCACAAATTTTCTGTCAGGACGATGATAACAAATTATTTGTGTTTATTTTTGTACTAAAATCTTTTTGTGGAGTGACAATCAGAGAAATGGGAGGAAAGATTTAAGAAAATGCAAAATCGAAGGCTCTGTAAATAAATTGGCAACATCTTTAATCAAATGTAGCAAGGTAGGAGTAGGAGTTTTCATAATTTCAAAGATTGTGACTTTATCAAAAGTTCCTGTGCCTTTTTTCATACAAATTATAAATTTACAGCAATTTAGCATTAATTTTTACTAAGTACAATATTTATACATTGCTAGGGCAGTCGCTCATACAAAACTTTACCATGTCCTTTACCGACGTAAATTCGTACTTATTGCAATAGTTTTAAGATATAGATTCAAGATTCAAATACTCTAGAAGTTCCTCTGTGCGATATTCGAGACTGAAATCTACATTTTATTGCCATTGAAATACGTACAAATTTATGTAGTTCAATTTTAAATGTCATTGTACGCTGACCACATAGAGCAACACGGCCGATGCGGCCAGGAGAGGAGTAGGCATACACAGCTTGCCCTCTGTCGAATTGGGCATACAAACGATACATGTGTGCAGGATTTGGCGATGTATTGTGTCATAATTTATGTTTGTGTCGTAGTTACAGTATAGTTTTTGTTTTATATGCGTGTTTTTTCGTGCATATTCCCTCCCCGCAGAAAATAACAAAATGATTTGAATATCGTCGTGTTGTGTCGCTATGAGGAGCGTATTTAGGAGCTCGACGGCGTAGGTGGTTAGTGAATTCGGCGGCGATCGTTTGAAGTTAAGCAATTTTCGCAGTGGTCGGTCATCCAATGATGGATGGGTGACCAAAAATCTTCTATCTTGAGTTCCTCCGTGCTTTGGAAGGTTAAGTCGTTGGTCCCGGCTGCATTTGCAGTCGTTAGCACCTGCCAATTCGTACTGTACACGTGGTCATGACCTAATCTCCCTATTCCATCCATAGGGAAGGCTTGTGTCCCAGCAGTGGGGACATTCATAGGCTGGTGATGATGATGATGATTATTGTTACTACTCCCTTCTGTGTTGCTCTATGGCTGACCATTATTGAGACAAATCGATAGGTAATAGTGTGTTTTTGGAAATAGTAGAAATATTAATTTAAGGTCGTACTCGGAGACATCGATTTTTTTTTTAAATTTGATTTAAGTTGATTTTCTCTTACTAATACCAAGAGAATGAGATAACAAGTGACGCTTTGACAAGTATTATATTTAATTGTCGTCTTTGAGTGCGACCGTAGTATTGCCGTGTGCGATGCATAAAACCGATATTTAATACTCCCTGTATGTATTTATTGAGTAAATATTTTATTTTGTAATTTATCACATGAAAAAAAGCCTTATTTATAATTATTTTTTAAACTATGGCTGTGCTTAAAGCATAAAAGTATTTATTGTTTGATCGCTGTCAGAATAAATCTGATGATTTATTTATATAATTTGTTTTATTTCATATGTTTAAAATGTTCTCACTGAAAAGCTTTTGTTTTCATAGTTGAAAACTTTTCGGGTGGTTTTAGGTTGCAATTTGCAGTGCACCAAAGAATTAGATAGTTTACTGTTGTTTTGTCTTAAATAAAATTATTTTTCTTTCATTTTCTTTCTATTTTAGATTCAGCGTCTATCTAGGTACTTATTTGGTGCATTACAAATTGCGTAGTATGAGTCCATACTCATACTACGCAATTTGTACACCGCGGCCGTTTGTTCCGTTTGTTCACCGCGGCCGTAACAGGGATGTCAGCGAGAACGATATAATTTCTGTATGAGATCAAGTTAGATATATGGGGGCCATTCCTTTATTACGTAAGGCTATTTTCGCTAGTTTTTCACTTCCTCGCCACGTAAGAAAAAATAAGAATAGTTCAACAGCCAACCCCAGTTTCATATTTATTACGTAAGAATCTTAAGGTATAAATAAATTACTACACGTTTGATATATTTTAATGTTTATTTTCAAAGTGAAATGCTAATGTTTGTGATCTTACGTAAGAACTATTAAGACACCCTCCCACCCCCTTGTAAGAAAAAATAAGACATGTTCAAACCCCCTCTCCCCCTAAATCGCCTTACGTAATAAATGAATAGCCCAATATCAAGATGATGTGATGGACTTGTAGTAGACAAGCGGCTTGTTCTGTTATCTAAAGAGGTAAAAGGACATATTGATTGGCTGGCTGATGTGTCCATAGTATTTAATACATCCGTGTGAAGCCGGGACGGGCCGCTAGTTGAATATTTCACCCGGCCACAGGGCTAGCTGAAATGATCATGGAGGAGTCCCACGTACATTGTTCTCGCTTCTCCAGTGGTTAAAGGATGCGTAAGGATGAAAATGCGTAGGAGAATTTACCAGACACAAATAAAAAAGGGCTCCGCGGGTTAGGGAATTGGGTTCAGATCTGGGGTTGCCACCCGTACTTTATTATAAAGTATTGTACGTTATTTCGGGTAATTGTACTCTTTACTTTATGTCAACAATAAAGTACGCGAAAATACTTTATTTAATGTGATTTGATTACTTGGGGCTTAATTTTATATAAAATATACAAAAACAGTATGTATAATATGTCGCCCTTAGCTCAGTCCTGCAACATTGTCGCGGCTGTATGCGGATAAGAACTACAGATTTTTAGTAGCCACAAATTATTTATCAATAGTTGCTATAAGCAACGTAAAATATATTTTGAAGCTTACTCATGAAGTGGAATAAAATGTACTTTATTTTGGACACAATGTACTTTTCTTTCTACCTTTAATATCCAATGTACTTTATTTAGACATAAAAAAGGTGGCAACGCTTTTCAGGGCGGTTAGGTGAGCATGGCTGGAGCGGCGCGCTTTCTGCCACATCATCTCACTTTGCGACTGAACTACATTTACTCTTAACATTTGGTGGAGTGGTGTAATTTGTTGCGGCTCCTTTAAAATAAATACCTAAACAGTTTTTTTTTGTAAATAACAGTGAAGGATTGATAGTTCATTATTAACGCTGTTTTTCCAAGTCCGATCCATAGGGAATATAACAAGCATTCTATCTTTTTAATTTGACCGATGGAAGATTTTTTATTGTAGGTATTACAAGTACACCCAAGAGCATAAAACGAGGTATGTATATGGTAGCAATTCCACCAATTTGGTACAAGGATAGTTTGAGTCCCAGGAAAGGACAGGAGGGTTTTTATCCCAGCAATCTTCCTTTAAAGGTGTGCGTTAGAAGAGGGTTGGAAGTTTTTTCTACACAGACGCAGTCACAGGCACTCCACTAGTAGTACATAATATTTCCACGTGTTTGTGAAAAGGGTCAGGTAAGTTTTTGTGAAAAGCTACCTAAATACGAGAAATAATGTTTTTCTAAAAAAAAAGTTTTAACAAAATTTCACACAGCCACCACAATGATTTAAACGAACTTTGTTAGAATAACCAATTTATCGAAGCGTATTTCTTGTATTCGGAGAATTCTATTTAATATGCATTTAAGGCTGTATGTATTACAATAACAACGATACCAAAACAAACACGAACAAAACAATAGATCGACTAACAATAGTCGGGACCCTCTGGAAAACGAAAAATTGGTGGCGAAACACTTGTGTACACCGAATGCTTTGATCCAATATGCATGACAATGGTGCGCGAGAGTGGATGACACAGTACTTACTTAACACCTCTTAAAGAAGCACGACTTATTAACAATAAGTACATACTTGCCTTACTTAAAATTTTTCGGTTATAATTGTGTTTTGTGTGAAGAAAAGTAAAAGTTTGTGTTAGGTAATTTACAAAATTACAAAAAATAGTAAAATGTACAATCAAACCTATGAAGACGAAGCGCCTATACCTCTAATAGCAAATTATACGGTGGTCAAAGAAGGAGAAGATGAAGAAAAAAGGGAAGCAGAGGAACGCGTCATTCTAGAAATCGGGCGGCAGGACGAGAAGCCTCGAGAAGAACATACGTTCTCGCACAAGAAGTACGACAAAACAATATCGCATCACAGGTCGTATGTGCTAGAGGATTATGAACCTAGACGGTTCACGTATTTTCGGCCGCATGAATTGGAAAATGTGGGACATGAAGGTAAAATTAAAATGTACATTATTGTTATACTACACCTGCTTGGAAAGAGCTTTCTTCTTGTTTTAAAAATGAACCAGAATGGACCTCATAACTGTTGTACTACTAAGCGGGCTGTGTATGCAAAATCATTGTTAACGAGCTGGCTTTCTTCATTTTTTTTATTATGTTCTGAAAAGTGGTATGATTTCGCAGACTTTGCAATCTATATTTTTTAATCTATATTTTTCTGAATTGATTTTGTAAAATGAACAAAAACTAAAAAGCGCTCTGATTATTTTATTTTAACTGAGTTTTTAATTTGTTTTCTTATCTACTCGAAACGGCGTATATTACTGATAATGAAGATTTATTGACCGCCAGACATAAAAGAAATTACTTAAGCAGTCATTGAGAACCTTTACCCGTAAAATCAAGAATAATATAAAGGTCCCATGCAATAGTTTAGTAACTGTAACAGCTTTAATATAAATTTTTAATTCAAGATTTTGTCTTTTATTTCCTCGCAGGTATAGTATAAAGCACTATGTATCTCTCGATAGAAAGTGCTATTCCCAACTTGGGTGTATTAATGCCCTTGGCTGCGCCTCGGGCCTCAAACTACACCCTCGTTGGTAATCGGTCACTTTCTCCTCTCGGTGAACAATGTACTTATTCCTTATTCATTAGGACTAGTACTCCGTGAAGTGGGTTGTATGTACGCCGGTTTTCAAGGTGTCGCCTGCTAAGAGGCCCTGAGGTCAAATCCCGGTAGGGGCAAATCTTTTTATGATAAATGCATGCATTTGCAAGCTCTTAACTCGTGGTTGTTTATATATATTTCTAAAATATACACTTTAATTATATTTACCCTAGTATCCCATAACACAAGTTTTTACTTTGGGGTTACAGCCTTACAGTACCCTTAGCACGAACCAATATCGAATTCGTATCGTTTGCGAGTCCGTAATGTCATTGTTAAATGTGTACTGATTTTTAGTTCTCGTTACGTCCGTTGTGGCGCTGTTGTTGAAGTTTCCATACAAAATTTGACAATGACATTCATTTCGGTTTGCAAACTATTCGAATTCGATAATGGTTCGTGCTAGGTGAACAGTTTACAGTACTTACTTTGGAGCTAGGCGTGAATGTTAGAAATATTTGTCTGGACTGGGAGTGTAGAAAGAAAACAACTTCTCCATTTGCATACTTTCGTGATTAGTTAATGTTAGTGATGATATCAACAACGAAGGCCAGGTAATTAATTCAGTCTTTACAGTGGAATAATAGACTGTGATAGTATGAATAATATGCATGAATGTGACATCCAAACGCTGATTGAGTTGATAAGAATAGAAAATCTGAATGGCACTTTTCTTTAAAGGGGTTCTTTTAAGGTGGCTTAATTGGCATTCATATAAATTTCGAATTTTTATGCACCTTAAAGTAGCCACCTTAAGAATTTATCGTATCGAAAGCTATAGGCTTAGAAGAAATCTCTAAATAATTTTCTCTGTAGATGTTTTGAAAAAAGTATAGAATTATTTAAAGCAACTCAAGCTTGTGGAAAATGAAAGGTTATGATGAAAGTCAAAATTAACATCAAAAATTCTTTTATGAATAAAATTTACAAGCTTGCTTTAAAAATGGCGACACTTGGAAAAACAAACCATGAAGCATAGTTCTTAGTGTTCTCACATTATTCTCTTACTATTAGGCAATGCATGAGAGACAAATCGTCTTTAGAAAAAATAATCACTCTATTTTGTCATATATTTAGCCAGCTAATTAAATAAATAATAATAAATAAATATTTCCAACACTCACACCTATTAGCCTAGCCCTAAAGTAAGCACTGTAAGGCTTGTTATGGGATGCTAGGGTAACGGATAGAATACATATACAGTACATACATAAGTATATTTATATAGAAATACATATTAAACATCCATGACTGGAGTACAAATGCTCGTGTTCATCACACAAACATCTGCCCCCATCGGGATTTGAACCCGGGACCTCTTGAGTCGGCGACACCATGAAACCCGGCGTACAAACCACTCGGTCATGGAGGTCGTCGGATTTGATTGGAATTGGATTCAAATGCTGTTCATTAAACGCGGACATCCAATTTGAAAACGAATTCGATACTTATCCGTTATTTATTCGCGTGTTGAAAGTCAAGCCATTTAAGGTGATTAACCAAGACTACCATTAAAACTTAGTTTAGTATTTAGTGTTTCCGTCGCCACTACTGTCTTCGTTCGGGGACAAAGGAGAAAAATCTACTAGTTAGGTTAGATATGTTGTTTATTTTTATTCGTTGAGGTTTGTTATTGCTGATTCTGCTAAACGAACCTTACCCACAGACCCCTCTTTGCCAGTGGGCACTGCCGGGCAAGTGCCCAGGGCCCCGCGAGCGATAGGGGCCTCCCTCAGATCAAATACAAAGTCCCTAGTTCCTGTTAAATCACCAAACGGGGGCATAGGGGCCCCATTATCCTAATATGCCCAGGGCCCCCAATAGGTCAGAGACGGCACTGCTTACCCATCCCAATCTCAAATTCATCAATAGGTATCCCATTTAAAATAAAGATTGCACAACATTTTGTTCAATGACGTGTGTAGTTTTTCTTCAGCCATTGGATGCCGGCGCTTAATAAACGGCCCAGGTATCCAGTTGGCTACTTAAAGGCCATTTTTTTATAGCAAGGTATGCAAATGACTCTACCCCACCTGATGTTAAGTGGTGATAAAGTCTAAACGCGAAGATAGCTGGTACAGCAGTTATAAACTGCTACACCAATTATCCTCACCTTGCCGGCCTGCAAAAATGCTTCTTCACACCTCGCTTAAAGGACCCCAGATTGTAGGAAGAAGGGTGCGCGGGCAAATAATTCCACTGACGAATAACTATCATTTAAATTATCAAAAAGTATTGGACACGTATTTTTTCTTTACCTATTCACTTAATCAAAACATTACAGATATACATTGATTTGAAATGGACAAATGATGTCACATTTGGTATAATTTGACTTAGAAGTGACATCACAAGCCCCCACTCCCAATCTATGTCGCGCTTTATCTTAAAAAATAAGTCTCCATTTCATTTTGATAATCTAACCCCTTTACCCCGTCATCAGCCCTATTTTATGTATTCGGAAAGTCCCCAGATACTACGAGCAAGAGTATCGGGAGTCGGTTGTCCAAGAAACTGCAAATTCAGAATCTTCTCTGGACTTCTCCCACGAGTCGCAGGACACTAGTAAATATGAGGAGACTGGACAAGACGCTTCTTTAAATTGGAAGGAAAGGGCGCTGCAGCTTGAAAGAGGTAACCCTGGCTTGACTATGCCACCAGCGCCCAAGTATGAACTTTGCCAGCTCTCTAACCGTATCGCATCATCAAAGGATCTATTGTGGTGGCGACATCTATATGCCCAAATATAACTAACATGGAGGAAACAATTATACGCCTCCTCAAGAGATGGCGTTACCGGCGCTGCGTTCACAACGTATGGAAGCCTCCATATATAGAGAAATTCGGAGGTTAACACTCCATAAATACAATGCCCGAAAAACTTTTTTTGTTTTTGTGTTTTTATGCTGTTGCTCGCAGATTAACTTTACAGCGTCACCGGGTTTGGGGACGGCGAGATCCTTATGGGATCTCAAGCCGAGAATTGGCGAGTGCTTCTAGAGGTATTCCAGGCGGATGGCGTCACCCCACGGGAGGAGTCTCCTCTCCGTCTGGGGCCTCTAAACCACTCGTACCTGGGGTCGGCTCAAATAGAGGGCGTCTCTGAGATTCGGGCCTCGGCTCTAGTTAACCGTTGTCTTGGGGGACGGGGAAAAACGCCCAGGTACGTACCTGTACCTGGTATAGCGTGTCGTGTGTAGACCGGGTCTTCGCACTCTTATCCTACGGGTATCTGCCTAATGCTAAGCTAGTGTGCACGTTTGCTAGCTGTGTGTCGTGTAGTGTTTGTGGCCTGTGTGGGAAGAATCATAGGCGCGGAGGCGCGGGTGATTCGTCGTCGGGGTAGTCTAAGACGTGCTTAGGCCGACGGAATCGCTTTAACTACTAAGGGGTTCGGATGATGCGCGGCTTTATCGGAGTAACGCCTCGGGCCGTCCTTCATATACTTCGCGATGGAGTCTAACTTGAGATCGCGATGCAAATCGATGTTGCGCACGTACCACGGGCAACCCGTGGCACCGCGCAACACACGATTTTGCAGCGTTTGTATTGGTTTAACACGAGACGGAGGTATGTGGGCGAAGCAAACACTCGCGTAGGTCATGATAGGGCGGATACAAGTTTTGTAAATTGTCAACTTATGCCTAAGTCTTACTACGCTTCCCTATGAGGTGGAATAGCCTGCCGCAAATGAATGCTGCGCGATCGCGAACTATCTTGAGATGAGGTGCAAACGTCAATCGGTTATCTAACCTAACTCCCAAATCCTCGACAAACCAAACATCATGTTGTATATATGGAGTGTTAGCCTCCGAATTTTCCTTGCGTGATGTAGGCTTCCATACGTTGTGAACGCAGCGCCGATAACGCCATCTCTTGAGGAGGCGTATGATTTTTTCTTCCATGTTAGTTATATGTGGGGCATGTAGATGTCGCCGCCACACTATGAATACGAAGCAGCGCCCCTACCGGTAAGAACAAACTGGCTCCTTCAATACAAAATTTATCGATGACGATACGATTACGGTCAAGGTTCGTGCATGGGCCCCTGATGTTAGAGTAAGAAGTGTTAATGCAAAGATATGTAATAAGGAATCCATGTGCTTTATAAATCTCTAATCGATATATGGTGATCTTGTTCGAACTGTGTGCTATATTACGGCGTTAAAAACTGTGGAAGTAAGCGTGGGATAAGTGAATTCACAAAATAACGGATATTAATTGCAGGACAGCTACTTGTTGTCCCAAAAATGAAAATTTAAGTCGGTTAAATAGAGGATGACACTTTGTATAGAAGATGCGAACACTAATAGTAACTCTGCTAAAAGGTGGAGGTTCCTTTTCCAGACGGGCACACCTATGCGAGCGGGAAATCCACTCTTTCTGAAAGGTAATACATAAGCACATTGCCTACCTGATTGGAAGGCAGGCTCTTTAGTACATAGATGCCGGCGTCTAACGCCCAGTACCCTTGGCGTTGTATGCCCTGACGGCCAAACATGGTATTGGGCTCTAGAAACTAACTCATCGACAGAACACAACACTACCACAAGGCAGTTGTCCTACGGCCGGCGAGGAAGTGACTCCACTATTTTTTCGCTCTAGAAACGTACTATATATATATACATATATATACTTTCCATGTAAACAAAAGAGACGCATATATAATTCGTTGATCGCTGCCCGTTCACACTGCCGATGCCGGCGAGAACTCTCTCCACTAGTTTGTGGCCGACTAGAGCTATCAAAGAAAATACTAACTGATACTTTGTGTTTAATACCCAAGTAGGTAATAAACGTGAGCTCAATGGCGTAAGTGTTTAGCGCGTACGGCTGCGGTCATTGAAGTTAAGCAACTTTCGCAGTGGTCGGTCGATGTCATAAGTGACCAAAAAAACTTTACTATCTCGAGCTCCTCCGTGCTTCGGAAGGCACGTTAAGCCGTTGGTCCCGGCTGTTGTTAACACTCCCAATCCGCAGTGGGCCCGCGTGGTGGGTCATGACCCAATCTCCCTATTCCATCCATAGGGAAGGCCTGTGCTCCAGCAGTGGCGACATTAATAGGCTGATGATGATGTAATAAACCTAGTTTTGTGGCTTTCCAGAATATAAGAAGACTGCATGCGATCGTGAGCGCACTCGTATGCGGGACATGAACAGAGCTTTCGACCTCCTGCGCTCCAAGTTGCCCGTCACGAAGCCGTCTAAGAAGAAATACTCCAAGATTGAATGTCTCAGGTATAATATTTTATTTCGGATCTGCTACAAATATGTAGATTCAAAAGTCGTTGTCGAAAACGTTGAACAAAAAACTATTTGAATTAGAAGCTTAGAAAATGGAGCCTAATTCAATACATTGGGATCTTGAATTTGTAATTTATTATTATTAAAGAAAAACACTAGTTAAGTGTGGGCAAAAATAGTACATTGTTCACCGAGAGCAGAAAGTGACCGATTACCAACGAGGGTGTAGTTTGGGTTTGAGGCGCAGCCAAGTGCCTTAATACACTGAAATTGGGAATAGCACTATCTTTCGAATGGGTGGACCCATCCATCCCCACTATCACCCACCAATCCCTTATTATCACCCTCGAATCCCCTTTAAACTGTCCAATTCTCTTTTCGACCTTCAATCCCTTTTCACCCTCCAATCCCTTTTCATACTTGGATCCCCTTTTCACTCTTGAATCCCTTTTGACCCTCGAATCTCCTTTACAACTTCCAATTTCCTTTTCAATCTTCTGTGCTCATTTAGTTAAACAACGCTCGTTGCAGTTACATGTGACATGAAAATATGAAAATTTATAATTTTTGATTATGTTATGTTCGCAGAATAGCCATTATGTACATTAGGCAGCTGGAAGGGGTACTCGCGGGCGATGCTGAAGAGCAAGCTTTCCTCGACCTTCATCAAGCTGAGCCGCGTCGTCGTTCGCAGCGGTTCTAGGTTGTGGCATTGGCACTGCTATTGCAACTACGCAACAACAGTAATAGCACAAATAGAAAGAAAACGAACTCCTTTAAGCCCGGCCAACTGGGAGTCGGGATTCGCAAACGACAACGGCGATTTGTAAATATATTAGAAAGCGTTGAAAAAAAGGCAAAACAAAGAAAGAAAATACTGTTTACCAGCTTAGCTTACATTAAATGTGATGAAGTGATGATTATTTATTTTTGGGTACTTTTTTAATGTAAATAATTATGCGTAGGGGTTAAACATTATGCAAACTTATTCTTTCAACGCAAATTAAAAAATTACATAAGGAAAGATCAGTTGTTCGTTTTGGAAAAATTGTACTCGGCCGAGTTTGATTCATCTTGACATCTTGGCTGATTTTTTTCCAGTGAAATTATAAATATACTATTGTTATAAAAGTGGAAAGATATTAAATAAAACTAGTTTTAACGGGTTAATGCACGAAACTTTATTTATTTATTGAGGTTTCGCAGCCTTTTCAGGTCTGCATCGTCTGAATACTGAAAAGCGTTAATAAATAAATAAAGTTTCGTGCATTAATCCGTTAAAACTAGTTTTATTTTAATGAGTGATGTGCGTGAAAACCTAAGAAATAAATAATGAGGAAAGATATGTTTGTTTGTTTGTATTGAATTGACTCTGAAACTACTGGACTGAATAGAATCTTACATTGCCCGTGATGAACAAAGGCTATAGAGTATTTCCAAAAAAAGTTAGGGTTCTATATGAAAACTTCGATAATTTAAACCAAAACTAGTTAAGATTGCTATATATTTGGTATATGATGTCCCACATGCTGTATTTAAACAACAAATACTGAAAAAGCCGATTCATAATGTTTGTACTTTGTAAGTTGTGACGAAAACTAACAAATGATTTTACAGAACCCTGTAGAGCTAGGCTAGACTCGCACTTGGTTAGTTTTTATTTATGAGTGCAACATATGGAATTTCTAACTAAAAGGCAAACATATCAGGCATTCGTTTCCTTAACAACACAGCTCAAGTAAAACTACAACATGATTCTAATAATTTTATTACGAAATACTCAACAAACTTTCGTATGAGTTTACAAAATAATCAAAATACAGTCGCCGGTGTTCCATTTCAATTTGTTTAACAAAAATAACCGTAAATAATGGTCATGTGCGCAATAGCTTGATACACATCTATATTTCTTTTGTCTTTCACAGAAATACATAATTCTCCAAAACTATTAAAATAATTCCTACAATAAATGTTATATAAAACTAAATTGAGCAAAAGTAATTGAATTTTGTAAATAAAAAAAGCTGTGTGCTGAAGGTTTCGATTCAAGAAAGTGAAAGAAATATGTATCTACGTATTATTTTGAATTTCCGTTTTATTATCTTTAATCAAGAGAGTTTTTCAATATTAGTGCCCTTTATTGTGCTGAGTGGTGAAAAAATGAAGTAGAAAACCTAAGATACTCGTATTTGACTTTTGATTTATTTTTATCTTTGCTGCGACTTTGTACGAAAAGACATTAAGACGATGGGATTACACACCCTTACATGACACAATCACGCTTACATTACCTTGATATGATTAGGATTAGGATCACGAAATATATGTATTGGAAATAAAAGCATGGATTCTAGGATCTCTACCATAGATATTTTGGAGTAACACAAAACTCCCTATTTACATTAGGAAATCTGTAAAAAAAGCTTCATTCTATTTTTAACTCCACGAGCAAGCAATTAATTATCTTTATTTATCTGATTATCCTGATTTGCAATTGTCTTTTTATTTTAATTATCACCGTAATTTGACTATACCTGAAAAACATTTAAAGAAATCATTCTTCGGTTCATTGTTATAAAGTGTAACATTCTTTGTCATTTATTTAATTAAGTGTAACGTATTTTTATATTTAATGATTTCTATGATTTTGATCACCATCCTTTCACTGGACTATGGCGACTCTCTGTTCCCACGCGATACTAGCCTAATTCGATTCAACACTCAGAACAAGTTTATACTGTTTAGTAAAAGTTTTATATCTGTGAAAAAGTTAAATACTTGTTACAATAACTTATGTGCTTATTCATGTTTCATTTTAATAACTAAGTATACAATAAAGATTATATGAATAAGCAAACGGAACCACTACAAGTGTTTAGCCTTTTCTCTTAATTTTTCTCTCAAGAGCTGCTTCCTGTTCTTTTTGTTCTAGGGCTTTCAAGTAGTCCATGTACGCGCATTTTATGAGAAGGGGCACTTTGACAACACCTGAAAAATAATAATTCAGGATTCAGTTATACTTACTTAGCATGGCTGCTGTGTGAATCTTATATATAATGCGCCTTCGCGCAAAAATTCAAACTATTGGTTATTATAACGTAGTGTTCTCATATGGGTTAGGAGGAATGTTATCCCAGGAAATTGATAGAACACTACGTTACACAGACCTATTAAAAAAAATTCAACTCTAAATTTTCTCTTCCACCACCTGCCCCTATTTTTATGGCGGTACGAAGTTCGCTGGGTCAGCTAGTTGTCACATAAAGTGTCTGATAATAATGATAAGAACTTATTAGTACTAAGAAATCCAAGTCTTCAGAAAGTTTCTTAATAGCAATTTGGTCCTATACATTACATTATACAAATTAACAACGTTGTCATCGGGCTTATTTATGGAAATCTAATAATCGAAATTATAGAAATTCAAACGAAGATAGAAATTCCAAACTGATGATCATTTAAAAAATACAGATTATATAGTTAAGATATCGTTTGTAGTACACGAAGATGGTGCCTAAGATCTGTTATAAGACTTACCAGCGAAGCATGTGGTGACAATTTCCTTATACAACATGTAGAGCGGAGCCAAGAAATGTTCTTGATTTTCCTTTTTCTGAAATGACAAATATCTAGTTTAAATAAACCGCTGGAAACACAAACCATATAAAAAAAATAAACAAATGAAAGAGTACTAAATGAGCGAAAAAATTAAATAAAAAAAGCTCCACCTATATTTTAGTTCGATGCTGAATTACTAAATGGGAATGGAGCTGTGGGTATACAAGTCTCAGCGAAAGAATTAGCTACTATTGTAAAAACCATGACCAGGGGAAAGTCTCCTGGTCATGATGGTCTCAGCGTCGAGCACGTACGGCATGCCGGGCCTCACGCTTATAGGGTACTCGCAATGTTTTATTCGCTGTGCGTGAGTCACTCTTATTTACCGTCAGACGTAATGAAGACAGTGGTAGTGCCTATAGTGAAAAATAAAACCGGTGACATTGCTGATAAAAGTAACTATAGGCCAATTTCCTTAGCTACGATCATAGCAAAAATATTTGACGCTGTGCTCAATGAAAAGTTAAATGAACACATTCACTTGCACGACAATCAGTTTGGATTTAGATCCAAATTGTCCACTGAGAGTGCAATACTGAGTCTAAAGCACAGCGTCAGGTATTATACGAATCGTAATACTCCAGTATATGCGTGTTTCCTGGATTTATCCCGGGCTTTTGACCTGGTGGCGTACGAGGTTTTATGGAGCAAGTTGGACAAGATGGGTCTACCACGAGAACTTATTAACATCTTTAAGTACTGGTATTCACATCAAATTAACAACGTCAGATGGGGGGGCGCAGTGTCGGAGCCATATCGTCTTCAGTGCGGTGTTAGGCAGGGTGGGCTGACCTCTCCCACTCTTTTTAATTTATATATGGACGCGCTAATCGTGGAGCTCAGCAGTAGCCATGTCGGCTGTCACGTTGATGGAATCTGTGTCAATAATCTTAGTTACGCAGACGATATGGTTCTGCTGAGTGCCTCGGTCTGTGGCTTAAGACACCTGTTGCGCATCTGTGAGAAATACGCTTGCGAGCATGGATTAAAGTACAATCCTACGAAAAGTCAGTTCATGGTTTTCGAGGCTGGTGGTGCTAGATGTCCAGAGAATGTGCCAGCAATACATCTCAATAACATCCCGCTCGAAAGAGTGTACCATTTCAAATATCTGGGGCATATAGTTACTGCTGACCTCGACGACAGTGCTGACATTGAGCGGGAACGGAGAGCATTGTCAAGAAGGGCAAATATGTTGGCGCGCAAATTTTCACGAAGTTCAGTAGAGGTGAAAATTACAATCTTTCGTGCTTACTGCACTTCTTTGTACACATGTGCTTTGTGGGCCCGCTATTCTCGGAGAGTGTATAACGCGCTTCGCGTGCAATTTAACAATGCTTTTAGGGCGCTCCTGGGGCTACCCCGTTACTGTAGCGCCTCGGGAATGTTCGCAATAGCACATACAAACTGCTTTTTCACCACCATGCGCAAAAGGTGTGCATCCCTTGTAAGTAGAGTGAGGGCAAGCCCAAATAAAGTCCTGGCTATGATAGCGGAGAGGTTTGACTGTCCTTACATGCGGCATTGTTGTGCACAGCATATATTATCTAATGGAGGTGTGTAATGCTATTAAATACAATTGTAAAAATATTTTATATTAAAAAAATACGGTTTGATATAAATAAGAAATTTTGTGTTCCTATGACATTTTAATATTCATTTTGTGTATGACATTATAATAATATTAACTTGACCTTTGATTTTTAATTATTTTATTTGATGGAAATTATTAAATTTAAATTATGTAATTTTATTAAATTAAATAAATGATTAGGTGTATTTTAAGTGACATGTGCCTATTTCTACAATAATTGATTATGCATTATTATTATGATTATGAGTTATGTTGCTCGAAATAAATGAATTTTATTTTATTTTTTTATTTTTTTTATATTAAAACTGCAACAAAAATGCAACAAAATTATTGTAATTTCAATATAAATTGTAAAAGAATGTCCGATTGAAAACGTCGGTTGATGATGATATTTTTTTCATGTCACGTTATCCTTGAAACATAACATTGTCAATAATATGACCCAGTTATACCAGGCTGTTATCAAATACGAGGATGTAGTTTCCGCTGCCGGGCTGTTTTACGCAATGAAACACAATCAAGAGATTTATTGCTTTTCTAAAACTCTTTTAAGGGTTTTTAAATCTCAATAATGTTTGTCGTTGGATTAAGGAAGCAATACATCATCGGACTTTGACCTTAGATTGTAACTGTAAGTCAACCGTTGCAAGGGGATAAGAAGATATAAAAGATTTTCCCTAAATGTACTAGAACGACGTGGCAATAAAGATGTTTGTGTCAAAATATTATGTTTATTTTGGAAAAATATTTTTTTTAACTGTTAACAAAAAATGTTTAACAATCTCTCCAAACACGACTACTACTCCGAATTAATTTCTTTGTAATGTTTGTGTACACCAAGCTAGAGAGAGATGAAACGAATGATGCAGTGGAGAATAAAAACAATGCGAAGGAACGACGTCCCTCGTATGTAATTGACGTGTAGGTACCAGGTCACAATAAATAGAAAGAATTCGATAAATTCTTTCGTGAAATGCAAGTAGGGCGTGTCGAGACTGTGGCATAATATTGTCTGCTAACCGTGGCATACGTTGACTAGGGTGGCATAACGAAGTAGAACTGTACATGGAATAGTTTCGCGAATTATTTGAATACCGTATTTCAATGCGACGGGAGATTTCATAGAGAGTGGACGCATCGCGAATTGGGGTTCCTTCCGAACGCGATCAGCCAGTCGTTTGAAGCTAGAGACTTCCGATTACTAGGCGATCAGAAATCAGAAGAAGTGTTTATTATTAATAGATTTTTAGTATAACCTCATACATTGTCTTAAATTTTATATTATATTATAATGTCAATAATTAAAGAAAGATTTATAAAATTTAAGTTTGCCGCTAAACAGCATAAATCAATCAACATTGTATAAAGTATAAGTCATATATAAAATAAAGACGAAATCCTCTTTGAGGGACCTATTGTAAAAAAATGCAAATAAAATAAAACAAAAAAGAAATCTTGGGTCAAATATAAAGAATATACATATATAACAGATAGGTACCAAAATATTTGTTTTCATATTTTTTACTTTACTTAAATATTGACTTTACCTAATTTAGAGATATACATATTCTTTGCATTGATAAAGTTTGACCTTCCCATTTCTGTTTATTTTAATGTGTTAAATCTTAAATTCATAAAGAAAAGTAATTGCGTAATACCTACGTATTTAGTGTAGAATCATCACATAAGGTACCTGAAATTGGTCGACGCAAAAATCACGTTCAATGTTTGTACGAAGCTTAGTAAAAGCGCTATAAAATACCGGTGCGCGAACCAGAGACAGAATGGTTCATGACGTAACTACAATCACCAGGAGTTTATAACTCAGCAACAGGTAAAACTGTCTACGCGTTGTACGTCAAAGCCGTTACGCGACTTTTGCCTTTCATGCAATGCGTTAAGCTTTTTTTTATTTTACTCTAATTTTATACGTACGATTACGAGACCGTTTTGATCGAAGGATGGTGGTCGTCTAGTATTGATGCTCCGAAAGTATTCTTGCCAGCGGCGAATGCACTCTGTTGTGTCTTGTTGATCGCCCCATACTCCTTGTGTGTACGTGAAGTAAACGGCACCTACCAGGATTCCAGCCTGTAATGAGACGTAATAGTGAAAATGTTACAACGAATACTAACAAAGCTGAAGTTGATAGGAGGTTTTTAATCAACATAATAATTTAACCAAACTCGACGACAAAGCGAAACCTAGTTTTTACTAGGCAAACAGAACAAATGTAGAGTTTACTAACTTTTACAGCATACATGAGCTTTCCGTGTGGATAAGGAATTTTAGCGACAGTAATTTTCTTGCCGCTTTTTCTCAATTTATATTCTTCTTTACTGCAAACCTTGATACATGTAGGTCGGATCGGAAGTTCTGTAACACATTAAAAAAAAAAGACTTAAACAAAGAAAGCCAAACAATATAAGGCATTCCGTTCGTGTAAGTAATGTAAACCGAGGAAAAAACAATTATTTTGACGACTAAAAATTCTTTGTTTCTTAGGTTTTCACTCACATCACTCATTAAATAAAACTAGATTTAACAGGTTAATGCACGAGATTTATTTATTTATTGACGTTTGGCAGCCTTTTCAGAACTGCAGCGTCAAATATAAAAAAGCTTTATTCTGACGATACAGACCTGAAAAGGCTGCGAAACGTCAATAAATAAATAAATTTCGTGCATTAACCCGTTAAAACTAGTTTTATTTATTTGACTAAAAATTAATTAAAATTGGTCTAATTTTTTGATATATAGATTTATTTAAATTTAAGTTTTAAGTTTTTAATGCACAGGCAATACACACATTCGTGGCATGAGTGTGTGAATATGTTTTCTTTGCAAAAATCAATAAATTATTACAATAATTTGGGTCGTTGTTATAAGTTTGGATTAACGATCCATGTAGCTATAGAGCAATTATAAAATAATATGAAGTTTTTTTTGTACGAGGCGACTCTACATTCCCTCCTGCCAAAATGTCGGGAGCAATCAAGAAGCATTACATAATTTGTAACATTCACTAGGATAACAGAGGTAGTGAACTGGTAGGGCGAGTAAAATGTATTTCTGAGTTACATCGGGGTTCATTCATGCAAACCGCAGGGGTGCGAAATAAACTACCCTTATCCCTTTCCGATACACATAGTGTTTGTCTCTTTCTCACACAAAAGTAACAAAACTGAATTTTGTACAACTAGTCAGTGCCGAAAGTCTTACCGAAAATTTGAGGTAAAATTATTGTGGTAAAAGTTGTCTGTAAACATTTTTCTAATAGTGAATACGATCAAGCCTATCATGTTTATAAGTCATTACATCAAAGTAATAAAACCCAAAATTAAAAAAAACAGTTCAACAACATTTGAGTCACACTATCAACTCCAGTGAATCTAAAATAGCCTTCGCGTAAGATAAAATAAACCTAGAATCTATAGTACCAACCAATACAATGATTGTATAGTGTAAATTAATGTATGATATCATTTAAACAATGAAACTGTAATAAAACTCTTCTACAGTATTAATCAAATTTCGATTCAGTATGTATCATTTTTCAATTCAGGCAATTGGGTTGAATGATCACAAGAAGATAACAAAGAAAAGAAACAATATTTTTATTTACATGAGTAACAAAATGCATACCGTTCTTCGTTATTAGTTGACGGTTATATATTGACAGGGATAGATAAAAAACACTGGACAATAGGTACTAACTACTTCGAATTCTAAGACTAACTAGGATTTAGGAATGATTGAATACCAACGGATTTGAGTCTCATCTGATGTTGAGAATAGGTAGTTAAAAAATTGCTTCACAGATAACAAATCTTGATTATTTTTAACAACCTCAATAGTTTAAAAGTTTAAATATCTGAAGTCCCATTTCAGAAAAAAAAAACAACTTTTTAGGGTGGTTGCGGCGTTACAATGTTTTAGAAATAACACAATGACAGTGTTTTATTGTATTATAGAGATTTTAACACTTCCTATTTTCTTTTATAGTTTTAATGTCCTCAGTTTATTGGTGAAGATTATATAAATTACCAGGTATTTGCGAGCAGTCTATCCTTTGGGTTGGACTGCACTTTTCGTATATCTCCATGTTTGGTTTTGGGATTTTCACGTGATTGGCCAAATTTATTGTACGGCACGCGTCGCACCGTATACGGTCGGTTTTGAGATTCTCACACATAACGAATTTAACAAACTTAGAATTTACAAACGAAACGATCAAATGAAACCTCTAAGACAATACAACCAGAAGATTTGACGTTTTTCAGCCTTTTGACGTTTTCTAATTAAGAAGTTTCATCTAATAAGTGCATGGCCAGGTACAACTTTAATATAAGAGTATTTATTGTAAAACTGCTTAGCTGAATCTACCTTGTAGAGTTTGTGCGGAAAGAGAATGGGATTTAGATTGGAGGGCGCTGTAGTGCTTTTCTACCGTATTTGTAAGGTTTTACCCACGGAGGAAAAACAAAGAGGAGCTGGCCTAAGCAACTGTGCACTGTGATTTTCAACTAGGTCCTGACGTCATCATTGTGGGCGGGGCCTAAGTCAGTATGCTTTCAGCGTTCGTCAGGTGCACACTTAACGAGACTCACATTATAAGTGTTTTTTTGCGTTTTTAACAAGAAAAGGTTGAAGTTTTGTGTTTACTATGTCAAAGTTACTCAGACAGACGTTCTGATAATATGGATGGCATCACATTTCATTTGTAAGTAATTTTATACGTAATTAAATAAATAAGTTCTAGAACATTCTCAGCCTCAGCTATCAGCGTTAAAATTCTACTACTTGACACCAGATGGCGACACTTTTAGGAAAAAAATACACAAGTTTACGTATAATTTTGCAGTAGTATATTGTAATAATCATACGTAAATACTGAAAACTGTTATACACTTATATATATATAACTTTTAGTATCTAAAACAGTAATTTTATCAATATATAACTAACTGGCCGCCATCTGTCGTCATATAGAATAACTTTTTAAACGTTACAAATATCCAGGGCCGTAATACGTATTAAATTATTTTACAAAGTAAATAAATTTTAATTATTTTTGACGTGACAACGTCTTAAATTAGGTTGCGGCTGGGAGTCACTTATGAAAAAGTGTAACGCTCGGTAACGTTACGATGAGTCTCTCGTGTTAAGTTTAAGTTTACATGTACAATGTTTTAGTAAACAAAATATATTTCTATAGTTAAAATTTGTGCAATTCTTATTTTCATTCAATTCCTTGTTCCTATTGTGCAATTTAATTATATTCATATCAATAAATATTCTACCGAGAAAAAAGTCGGTTTTACGGGCGAAGATTTTACGTGACAACGTCTTTTTCTCGGTAGAATATTTATTGATATGAATATAATTAAATTGCACAATAGGAACAAGGAATTGAATGAAAATAAGAATTGCACAAATTTTAACTATAGAAATATATTTTGTTTACTAAAACATTGTACATGTAAACTTAAACTTAACACGAGAGACTCATCGTAACGTTACCGAGCGTTACACTTTTTCATAAGTGACTCCCAGCCGCAACCTAATTTAAGACGTTGTCACGTCAAAAGACGTTGTCACGTAAAATCTTCGCCCGTAAAACCGACTTTACAGGCAACCATTTTTTTTTGACGTGACAACGTCTTAAATTAGGTTGCGGCTGGGAGTCACTTATGAAAAAGTGTAACGCTCGGTAACGTTACGATGAGTCTCTCGTGTTAAGTTTAAGTTTACATGTACAATGTTTTAGTAAACAAAATATATTTCTATAGTTAAAATTTGTGCAATTCTTATTTTCATTCAATTCCTTGTTCCTATTGTGCAATTTAATTATATTCATATCAATAAATATTCTACCGAGAAAAAGACGTTGTCACGTAAAATCTTCGCCCGTAAAACCGACTTTACAGGCAACCATTTTTTTATGTTCGTTTTAGATTTCCATCCAACGATAATTTAAAACAGCAATGGATTTCAAAACTTAATAGACCGGATTGGACACCATAGAAGAAGAAGATATTTCCATTTTAAATGAATCTTCTGTGCAAAAAATTAATATTACATCAGAACGTTATCGCATTTTAAATAAAATGAGTTTCGAGTCTTCGGATAGCACGGATGTCGAGCCTATGCCTGACGATATGTTATTGGAATTTGATGAACAATTAAATACAACTATAGGTGACTATTTGCGCCGTCAAATAGTAGCATATATTTCTGGGTATGTGGTCAAATATTTACATTCCAAGATCAAATGTGAGAGCTGTCTCAAAGAATTATATGCTGATAACTACGACGATAGTGACCTTGATTTGATAAAATCTAAAAATAAGGGTGGTCTTACTTTCCCATCTAGAGATGTCATAAAAATATGTATACGGACCGAAGACAGTATTCGTTGTGTTAAATCGCAATCTTTGAATACTCCTAACTTTCGTAAACATAAAATTGTATCGAATACATTAAAATCACTTATTGGACAAGATTGTTTCAAAAAATCGGCCAACCATATGTTTGACCAATCACCTACAGTTAATCATGTTGTATTTCTGATGAAATCGATTGCAGAAAAATATATTGATATTCGTTTTAAGCATTTTGCCACAATACAAAACGATAGGGCAACCAACCGACAACAACTAACCAAAACTATTATTTACAGGTAATTGATGTTTTTTAATAAAATTATGTTTGTAATAACATTTTGTCTATTATTTTTAAACTACCTTAAAATTTAAATCTAAAGAAAATATAACTAGAAAAATACCCACGCGGACCAGGCAGCAGACGGGAGCGGGTGCGGGTTCGAGTCCCGTCTGCTGCCTGGTCTGCCTGGATTTTTTTTCATCAAGCAGTTACATGTTTTAAAATAATAAAATTTATACCTTAAAATTTTTAAAATCGGTCAAAATTGTCAACGTTTATTTTATTTATTTACCTACATATTTAATTTTGACGTGACAACGTCTTAAATTAGGTTGCGGCTGGGAGTCACTTATGAAAAAGTGTAACGCTCGGTAACGTTACGATGAGTCTCTCGTGTTAAGTTTAAGTTTACATGTACAATGTTTTAGTAAACAAAATATATTTCTATAGTTAAAATTTGTGCAATTCTTATTTTCATTCAATTCCTTGTTCCTATTGTGCAATTTAATTATATTCATATCAATAAATATTCTACCGAGAAAAAGACGTTGTCACGTAAAATCTTCGCCCGTAAAACCGACTTTACAGGCAACCATTTTTTTTTGAAGCTTCAAGTTCTGAGTACGTCCCATTATAGACAAAACTTTTGACATCTAGTGTTAGATAGCTGAACTACTACGTAGTAACATAAATATCAACCTAAGCTAGTTTTGCTATTAGCCGATAGATGAAATATTGAGAAGTGGGCGGAGCTGAACACCCCGCATCCCGCAAATTATCACGCGCGTCGTTTCTTGAGGAAATTTAATCACCACACCTCCTCTTTGTTTTTCCTCCGTGGTTTTACCCCTTTTAGACATGATTAAATACAAAAAACCGCAAGAAATCACAACAATAAACAAATCCGTGTCAATACAAAACTTTGACGTTTTACAGATTGCTGGGGTTTTTATTGTCAAATAAAAATCTTAATGTTAGTTCCATTTCTCGCCACGCCCATTCTCTTTCCGCACAGACTATCATAATTTTGGATTGATTCAATTGGAAGCTCAGAATAATAACTAAAGGCTTAAGAAAGACTTGTTTTTATTTAGTTCGGGTGTGTATTTTCTTTCTCCGAAACGAACTTTCGATAACGAAGTTCAAAGGAAATTTAATTTCGTCAATTTAAGGTTATACTTAATTTGACCGATAAACTATCAAATTTAAGCTTTTTTTAAGTAGGCTTAGAAAATCTACACCTCAATCTATGTTCCGACGACGAATATTATTATAATTAAACAGGAACCAGAAACATACTAAGAAAAGTGCGAAATTCGATCGAAATTTCGTTTTTCGTTGAATTAGAGTAAGCCTCCAGAACTCCATTATGTAGAATAAGATCAATGTGCTATTAAACTAATTCACTTTGTTTTAGTATTTAATATGTGTAAGTAGTGTTGAGAACTGATCAAAGAACTCGTAAATAAAATCATGTCAAACAACTAATCTCCACAGATGAACACTGTAAAATACGTTACCTTTTGATGGTCTCGTGTTTCTGTTGTGCAATAAATTTACAGGCCTCCCCTATATGGGTTTTTAATTTATTTTCATAGAATTCTCTAAGTTTTCAAGTTCTTAAATAGTTCGAAAGTACGACGAGAGCATGTACGACGAGTCTTACAGAGTAATGGATACCAGTAGACACAAACTAAGGGTGCGGCCAGAGTGCATTCAGATTCAGATTCAGATTCCGAAAACAAGCGCAAGAAATAAACAGTGTAGTCGAAGGGTACGGCCAGAGTGCACTCCTGATTCAGATTCAGATTCAGACTCAGAAAACAAAGCGCGAGAAAAAGCAGGCAACCTGCTTAGACTACACTGTTTATTTCTCGCGCTTGTTTTCAGAATCTGAATCTGAATCTGAATCTGAGTGCACTCTGGCCGCACCCTAAGACACCAGAGTCACAGAGTAGACAGACAACCTGTTTATTTGCCATACGTCAAAGGAGTGACTGACAAGATCTCAAAAATACTAAATAAGTACTCACAAAACACTGTCTTCTCTTCTGTGCGAAAGGTTTTACAATACCTATGGTCTCCCTAAGACAACTTCCCCTTGGAAAAACCTGGTGTCTATAAGATCGATTGCAGCTGTGGCAGTTCGTATATTGGCCAAACAAAGCGAACAGTATCATGCCGAATGAGGGAACATAAAAATAATGAAGAACAATAAAAGCAATGAAGAACAACGATACGCAGAATACAGCCATCGCGGAACATTTGATTGATTCTGCTACATACCAAGATTGGTCAGGGAAGCGATTGAAATAACAAAACATAAAAATTTCAATCGTGAGGACGGGTTTATATTGTCGAGTGTCTGGAATCCTGTGGTTCTTATTAAATCTTATGTGTAAAACCGGAAATAATCAAAAAAGCGTCATGTTGCGATCCGATACTGCAAGTGTTGTGTGTCGAGAACAGTTTCGAGTGAATAGTGAGTATGTGAACAGTGGTACGGGTATCGAACGCAATAAAAGACTTCGTCGGAGGGTAGACCGATATGTCTGCCAATAACAAACAGCCTACCCGCAATTACTTCAGTTACTCCGTGATCATGGCGGTTGCAACAGTGCCGAAATATCGGAAACTCGCTAAAAACAAGGTACATGGTAACAATCCCGTAAAAAACTTATATTACTATAAAGTTCGAAAGTATTAGATTTAGAAATGTGACGGCACGAAACTTACGACCCCTCCTACCCCTTAACGTGTGACGTACTTTATAGATGAACCCTTATCAGAACATTAATCCCAATTGCATGGGTACAGGTATTGCATAAGGATGGAGTAGGGAGAGATACGGCCGGCCATGAACCACTGTGGCCGAGGGCAGATTAGTGGATGCTAACGACTGGAGATGCAGCCAGACCAGGACCTTTCCGATCAGCTTGATCCTTTGGCTTTGCGTAGGGATGTAGCTTCGCTCTGCATCTTCT